CAGACTCTCGTCTGAACAGAGACAAAAGAGGTTCAAACAGAACCTCTGCATGTACTGTGAAGAACCAGGACACTTTGTCTCAACCTGTCCCGCTAAGGTAAAAGCCGGGGTCCGCCAGAGGAAATGAGGAGTCTGGCGGACCATCATCAAACTGAAAAATCTCCTCGACTTCTGTTACCCGCAACTCTGTTTTTCAACGATCAATCCCTCACTCACTTCCACCTTTGAGCAGGTATTTACCCCGTCATCTGTAAAACTGCAGTTTACCTGGATAAACCCTAACTCCTCTGTCCTCCTCAGTGATGTTCCTCCCGTGACCTGTTGCCGAGCCAAGAACCTGTTCACAATAACTGTAAATTTGTAAATAAACCTTTGAACTTTTTCTCTGTTTCACGAATGTTTCTGCATGTGGGTTAGACGCCTAGAACCCAACATGACAGAGGCTATATAACTAAAGTAGCACAATCAGAACTTTGAGTCAATAGATGTGTAAAAGTGGTAAAGAAATGCCCAAAAAGACAGCTATTTCTGAAAACTCTTTCTAGAAAGTGTTTTGAGAAACAACTCATTGCTCTATTACTACTTCTCAGCGATGCTTTACTTTGCTACTTTATTACTACTTTTTTTTACTAATGTAGAATAGTTCAAGGGGTATGAATTACTTTGAAAGATATTATTTTAATTTTATCACAGTCTAATAACACCAATACAACTTTCACAATTACAACATTCACAATTAAGGCTCTGATTGGGTCAGAATAGCAAAAATAAAAACAAACCAAAAGCTCCAAGGTACTGATGACCAGATAATCTGTACAGAACCACTGAAATAAAAATACTTCTAAGCACAGTGGGTAATATTTATATAATAACAAGTAAACCAGTAAATACTATTGAGCTGTCAGAAGGTAGAAACTCACAAACACAACACACCCACATATTGTGGTTTCTCTTCCAAGGAAAACTGAAACTTAAAACCTCATGGAGCAGAATACTGACTGCAAAGGAATCACATGGAAACTATTTTTGTTTTCTAGACTTTGCCTCTGTGGTTTGACATGCCCCAACAGTGATCAGTCAGGTTGCTCAACACCAGTTCCAACAGAGAGTCGGGCACAGGTAGAGCTGCTCATCCTGATGATGTCAGCAGCAACAAGGTCAGGTTCTGGTGTTTACAGAAGCAAAAAGATTGTAGAAAAAATGGTCACACAAATATGGACCTTATTTACCTATATAAGAATAACATAACAGTAAAGAGTTATAAGATAAACAACAACATACTGTACTGTAAAGTGTTTTAACAATATAAAACTGTACACATGAAAAATAAATAACCAATATTCAGCTATGGACATTTTTACAGTAATGGATATTTCAAAATAGCAGCAAAATCAGAGATGTGCAAAATGACAGCAACATGTTATCTAATGGACTAAGGTAGAAACTGTGCAAAATAGGCATGAATGTAACAACTTATTGAGATTGTTGGGAACAATGGTGGTTAAATAGTCTTGCAGCTGCTTGGAAGAAGGATCTGTGATAACGCTCCCTGGTTCATTTAGGTTGCAGCAGTCTGTCACTGAAGGAGCTCTCTACTTAAGCAACAGCTTCATGCATGGGGGGAAACATTATCAAACAGAGACGTTAATCTAGTTAGAATCCTTTTGTTTCTCTCTTCCTACACTGAGTCCAGAGAGCAATTTTAAAAGAGATGAAAAAAAAAAATAAAATTAACAAATGCAAATAGTCGTTTATTTGCTTATTCACTTATTTATTTATACTTTTATTTATTTAAATGCATACTTAGTTCTAGATTCATTTATTTATACTTTTATTTATTTATTTTTATTTTTTTTTTCATATTTGTACATTTCCACAAGTATTTACTTCAGTCTCCTCTTGATGAGGTGGGTGATTCTAACATTTGTCTTCAGTACTATTGGATAACTGTGAGAATCACACAGAAGCATTATTACATGGATGCACATTCATGGAAGACATAAGATGCATTCAGAATGAACCTTGCCTCGCTGGGAATGTGGACTGTGTCACTGAACTTATTGATGAATAAAGATAAGCAAAAAATTTGAAAATAAATTTCCCTTGGAATGTATTGAGTGTGTCTCATAGTTCTATCATTATTCTGTCTATTAACAGAAACTTGTATTGATTGATTTAATTTATTTAATTTCAGACTCAAGGGTCACACACTACTATCAACCAAAATACAATGTAAAACAGGAAAGAAATGTAGAACTAAAAAATTATTTAAATATTATAATTTATCCAATTTTTTTTTTTTTGTAAACCTACCTACAATCAACAAATAGCCTGTTAGTAATAAGACTACACCATGCAACACAGAAGTATTGAACAATTAACCAACCATAGCCTGATACTGCATATTCATTTTATTTGTGGATTTTTTTTCACATTATTTATATAACATCTGTAAGTTTAACATGTATTGCAACAAATAATCTCCATCTATTAATCCGCAGCCCCTCTCCCCCACCTTTAGATCTCTCTCTGCCCGGCAGACTGATCCGATCTGGCGGACTTATCCAATATTCCGCTGTACCTCCGCGGTTAGCCTCTAGCTTGCCCGGGCCAGCTGTAGCCTCTTCAGGGCCAACAGTGTTCTGTTTGCCCAGTAGGCTTCTAAGATCTAAAGAAAGCCTATGATGAACAAATATTTGGAATAAATATGCCACTGATAACTTTTTTCAGTACTTGCACATTTTGAAATAATGAACTGAAGGAGGACATGTATAGGGGCTTTTTTATTTACAAAATTTGGATGCAACCTGTCCATTTACCAGTAACAGAAGAGCATTTTCCCATAATTGCTGTCACTTTAGTTGCTTCAGATCAACTGTGGCTGCTGTCTCAAATGACTGGTCTTCGTCTAATCTCTTGAGTTTCTCATGTGCTCCAGACGTCCGACGCAGACGGGAGCACATACATATAAAAAGTGATCAGATAGGCTGCTGAATCACATGATTCCTAGGGGAATCCAGTGGGGCAGGAATAGATTTGACCCATGATCATATGATCGGGAGGATACAGCATTAAAAGGTTAATGGGAGCAGGCGGTAGTGGGAGCCTGTATTAATTCATCAAATTAATATTCAAATAAAATCATGTATCTTTTGATTTTATAAAACATGACACCGGGCTACAGGAGACCCAGTATTCAGCCTCCTTTCTTTCCCTCTTTAGCCCTCAAACCCCACTAATGTGCTTGTAGAGTTGTCAAACTCCCTAGCCAACCGGAGCCTTAGCGTCATTATGTCTGCTATAAAAATCATTGCGGGGGAGAGGGGCTGAAGGTCTCTAAGCAGATACACTCCCAATCGCTTCTGTTTTTTTTTTTGTTTTTTTTTGCTACATATAAGAACCCAGTTTCTGCTTTTCAGAAAAAAATCTGCATGTGTGTGTGTACTATATTAAAAATCATGACTAAACTTTTATTTATTTATTACATTAGAAAGACCTTGTTGATTCAAAGCTTCGAAAATTATAGTGAGATGTATCATTAAATTAACACAATAGAAACAAATACAGTAAGTTTGCATATGACTTTATCTAAATGAGAATGGGAAAAGGGTCATGGCAATAAAATGACCATTAATTCTTCACCTTTAATGACTCATAAGTTTATAATTTTTTATATTTCTTTTCAGAGTGGACTTGCTTCTTTCTTGGTCCACGTTTGTTTTGGTCACAGTTCTCAAAACGGGGATGAATCACCAGCACAACAGAAGTACTGTGAGATAGCCTTCCTGAACAGCTGGAAATCATTGTGAGAAAAGCAGCTGAGAGAGCTCCATGACCGATAAAAGGCAGCCAGCTGTGCCCCCTCCATTTCTAAGGAACCACAGCGGTAGAGGAAACAATTTGCAGCTCCTAAGGGGAGCTGCAAATTGCTGAGAGCATAGCAGTAAATCATAGAGGGCTACCAGGCAAACAGAGCGCTATTGGTCTGGAAGATTCAACAGCTTGGCCGGGCTACCTGCTTGGTTGACAGAGTTCTTAAGGTAAGGAAGAGGTGTTGCTTTTGACTATAAGGAGCACGGCGGGACATGGGTGAGGCCTGCTGTGCGGGAGTCAGAGCAGGAAAAGATGGTGGAGGCTAGAGGCTACCTGCTGCAGAGTAAGGATCATAGGCTAAGGATCAGAGGAGCCTGCGGGCGGGCAGAGCAACAGAGTGGGATGAGAGAAGGCATCAGCCTGTTGGCGTCTGTGTTGGAGGTAGGACGGTGAAACAGCCCTTCTATGGCTAAATAAAAAAAAGCTTTTTAAAAAAAAAAAACATCCACCACACATCTCTTGAGAACTTTCCCAACTTTATCGTTTGTCAAAATTATTTAAAATTATTATTTTATCATTTGAATAAAAAAAATAAAACTGGTGTCCACTGCCTCATCGACTAAAACAGTGGTGAACTCAGTATTTTTTTCAGCTCCTGATTTTTATAACACGATGTCAATCTAGTATTGAAGAATTTATTAATTCGATCCTGTCAACTAATGTTGTGGTTCATGTTGATGCTTTCTGCAGTTGTGCAATTTTATCAAAATATATGAATATTAATATATTAAATATGAATATATTAAATAACTAGAACTGGAAGTTACAGATAAATAATATGTCATTCAAATGCACGACAAAACCAATAAATGATTATCAGTTATATTATTATAACAGTAATTTGGGTTCTTTGTTCTTTTACATTATGGTTGGACTCCTGGATCCTCTGTTTAAACCCGTTGCCTTCACCAGATTAATCATTTAGACTATGGTTATAAGCAGAGTTAATAATCACCAATCAAATAAATTGTCTCATTTCACTCAAATATTAACCAAAGGCATATGGATTTGCCTGGAGTTATAAATCGTTCACTGTATAAAATAACAACAAAAGACCATTGGTTAAAATAGAATGGTGCCTTTATTAGCTAATAACTGCTGCCCCAGTATTATTGTAATGTGTAATAACTAACAAACTCTAAGTACTACCGAAAATAGTGTTATTTAAAACATTGTGAAGTGTTATTTAAAGAGTATGTCCTGAGCGATCTCAGGAAAAGAAACAGAGAGAGAAAGCTTCAAGGTGTAAACACAGGTGTAAATTTCCCCAGTAATTTTAGAATCAGACGTCATGAATGCAGTGGAATCTAGAGATGGTTGTTCGACTACTTTAGATAAGTAGTCACTTTTAGCACTTAGATTTAAACCTGCAGCTTAATCCTTTTTGATGCAATAAAACCACATGTTATTCTTCCAGCTGCTTCCAAGACAACCATATGTTTTTTAAGCTTAAAATCACACACTGTACACTGGACCACTAAATACAGATGTGGGAGGTAAATAACAAGCGAGATCAGCAGACAAAACATTGTTAAAGTATTGTATTCGAAACTTTATGTCCCATAAACACAACCTGCTTGACAACCTAATGCAACACCCGTCATTTTTCCTTTCTCATACATTTCACATCATTTACTTTTAAATCTTAAAAAAAAAATCTAAATATAAATATAGATTTTTACAAAACTCAGCAGTCAAAATTTCTATACAACATCTACAAATCACCACACATTCATATTCACTTCAAAAAGTAAGCTATATATTTCAAAATGCTTTGATTTATTTTTGGTGTGACGACAGTGATTCTATAAATGGCTGCTGTTTAGTTATAGTGTCTGGTAGTTTTACATGGTGACCTTTTGAATTAATGTAGTCTAATGGAAAGGTTGTATTTTCTATTGCATGGAGAGGCAATATTTACTAGTGGTGCCTGTAATTACATTATCCACTCAGGACAAGTTAATCATGCTCTTTACTGAATGACCTCTGATCTTACACAGCAGATATAATCAAAGGATCAGAATTTTTATCATCCTTTTTAAGATGTGGACTAAAATATGGGCAAATGTCATCCCTGAACAAACACTCTGTGAATGAGAAAATGTGCAGCTCGTTTATCACATCATAAAAAGACACAACACCTTCCTCATAGTCGATGAACACTCCAACTTTCTGAGGTTTCTCCTCCATAGGAAGGCTTGTGGGCGGTACCGTCAGTGCTGCGTATTTCCTGTCTTCAAAATGCACAGCCACCCAGTAACCATTGTCCGTGTTCACATCAATTATTCCTTTGCGGTTTGCACTGCGCCGTGCCACACCTAGATCCCAGCCGGTTTTGTTTTTGACATCCACTTCCCAGTATGACCTCCCACAGTTAAAGCTGTTCTTCCCAAGGACGCTGCCGAAGATGTCAAACCTCCCCGGAGAATCTGGACCTTTTATCTTCTCTCCTCCATCTCTCACTTTTTTGCCATCATTGGACAGTACAAGACTCTGATGGGCCGTGGCTGAGTCCAACTTTACATCCACTGTAGGTAAAACAGAAAACAATTGAAGAGTTGCTGTAAAGCATCATCAGACCCCTGTAAGGAGGTCTCTGACTTTAAAAAAGCTTTTGCTTTAAAAAGCAACTCTAAGCTATTAAGTTCCCCTTGAAAGTTTATTTAATTATTGCAAATGTTGTAGTTTATAGCCGCTTTAAACAAGTTAAATGCTATTTTTTGCACAAACTGTCAGTTAAGCTGAATCTGAAATGTTTAACTAAAAAAAAAAAAAAAAAAGCTGAAAAAATCTGTAAAAGTATCATTTTATCTTTCAATGTAAACATGTCCCTTCATTGTCCCACAATGGGGAAATTCACTCTCTGCATTTAATCCATCCCCCTGGGGAGCAGTGGGCTGCCATTGTGTTGTGCCCGGTGAGCAGTTTGGGGTTCAGTGACTCAGAGTGGCAGTCTGTGGGAATGAGTGGGAGTCAAACCCAGAACCTCGAGGACCCACACAAAATGCTCTAACCACTAGGCCACCACTCCCCCAATTTATACTTAAATGTAACATACCTGCAAATGATGCAATCCTTTTCAGCTCTGTGGAAATAGAAGTAAAATATAAATGGAACAGAAATCATCTTACTCTAAAAAACAAACAAGGAAGCTAAGAAAGAAAAACACAAAAATAAGGCAAAAAAAATAAAAATGACAACAAATATTCACCTAGACGAGAGAGATTTTCCAGATGCCACTGGATCTCTTTCATCAAACTAGATGTTGTAGCTCTCAGGGTGCCAAAGGAGAAGGAGGTGTCAAGATCTAGGTTTTTTAAGTCTTTGAGGTCAGTCAAGGCTGGAGGTTGAGAGGTCTGTGGGGTTCAGAGGGAGTTTGAGACGGAGTGCATTAGTAGTAGTAGTTATAACTAGCCAGGGAAAAATGCAAAGATTTGAAATGCTAAATGGAAAAGATTGTTTTTTTCAAGTATGGTAAAGTGGCCCAGAAGATACATTCTTCTACCTGTGTAGAAGGATTTCTGTCCAGTTCATCCATTGATTTTCTGAGGCTATCAATTTGTCCTTGGAGAGTCTGTAGAAGATGCTCTGCCTCTCTTTTGACTTTTTCTTTCCTGAGAACAGAACAGGATTTTAGTTGGAGTCTGCCATCAGTTTATAAAACATAATCAGATACTGTAGGGCAGTCATTTGAAGCACGTGTAGTTAGTTATTTTATATGTCACAATGGGAGGCAGTGTAAAAGCATCTCTAAGGCCATCAAAACAATTATTAAAAACAGTTCTGACCTCTTCTCCAGAGGCTCCAGGGCTTTCTGCCGAGCAGCCTCCACCGCCCTGCTCACCTCTGTGAACACACTGTTGATCTGCAGCCACTCAGCATCCAAACTGCCCTAAAACAGGGATGGGAGCATGCAGTATGTGTAACAGATGTTCTGAAACTAAAATCCAAAAACTGCAACAGTTCCTACAGCTTACCTTGCAACCTTTTGCAGCTGATTTAACTTCAATCATCTTTCGCTCTCGTGATTGAATTTTCTGCTGTATCTGGACCTTCATCATGTTTTTCCTTGTCTAGACGGGAGGAAAATATATAGGCAGAATTTTTTTATACTATATAATTTTTTATGTTGCATGTTTTCTGCACTAGATTTGCAAAGCAACTAGTACTGGACTTGATGGGTAGGAAGATGGCAGTCTGTTTTATTTAGGTGTTTTCATTAGTTCTTTGTTTTTCCACAACCTGAACAGATCCATAAAATGATTGAAATAATGCAGTTTAGTTCATTTTCATTGTTATTATAATAAACTTTCCCGCACTCGTAGACATCTTTTGTTTTCTTATGTTTTATCTTTATTTTTGAATTTAAGATATTGTTTGTGCTGACACAAACATTATAACAGGTGTGTTTAAAAAAAAAAGGAAAGTTTCAGGATTTTGTTTTTATGTTTCATATTTTTTCCAACTAAATGAACCTGCGTCCCCTCAGCACTGAAATTTGTGTCTGGGTCTTAAAAAGCTGATTCCTAATAGAACTGTTTGATTATTAGTTTTGATTTTATTTTGTTTTTGATTTTTATTTATGAAGAAACTGACACCGGTGTTTAATATTGCAGAAAATTCTTTGGTTTTAAGAATTATCTGGTATAAATGTTTTGACCTGAAAAATCTTAAACCACCAGTAACATACGGATTCTTCTTTCTTAGCTTAACATTCGTATAGAAAACCTTTTTTTTTTTTTTTTTTTTTAATCAATGCTCTTAGTGTGATAAGCTTGGTGTAAAATATTCACCTAAATGGATGAATAATGCCTAAATTTTAAATGGCGTAAAGTGTCAGTGCATTTTGTTTGACACATCTATTTTCAAAAAAATTTTTTTATTTTTTCATTAATAGTTTCATAGTTTTAATCAAAAGCCCGCATAACCCCAGGTTGAGAAGCATAACCACAAATCCTGCCCAATGTGACTAGGATTTGTGGCAAAATATGGTGTGATCAGATACATAAATATAACCAAAATACACTGGAAAAGATAATAGGTGAGGTTTTAAAAGATAGAGAAAATAGCAATCAGTATTAAATCTTATGAAGATGTTGGTATTTCCTTTATCATAAACCATTAATGTTTTAAAGGGATCATGATAACTCAGGGAAAACATACTAATATGAATGTGACTTAAGAAGATGATGACATTTCCATTATAAAAAAACTAATATGTTTCAGTCTGCAAATATTGTTCTGTCTTAGATAAAAAAAAATTACCTGACATCTTTCAGCCTCTCTTTCTTTCTCCTTTTCATCAATCACTGCTTCTTCCTCTGTGTTTTTGAGAAGCTGCTTGTTTTCAGAGACCTATTTGGAAAAATGAGCAAATCCTTTAAGATAAAACAATTAACTACCTTTAGAATCTACTATTAAAATTTATATTGACCAGTGGGAGGACAGTAGAACAGACAAACATAAACGTCAACATAGGTGGTTCTCCAAAATTAGATTAAAAGTAAAAAAAAGTAAAATAAAACATCATTCCAACTACGGTTCAAAACTTGGTAGTGACAGCATCAAGCTAATCAAATTTTCCTGTAACACTGAGTCTTGTTTCTTCTGAGTTCTGGTCATCATCTTTTTTTTTTTATTCAGTGCTGTTATCTAAAAGAGTCAGGACTGTGACCATAGAGTTTCCAATATCTGTTTTATAGTATAGCAACACCATCTATAGGTGTTAATATAATTACACCACCACAGCGGAGTAGAGGGTTCATTTATCCTACTATGACTGGGATAAGGGTCGCTCACCACTGCAGGCTTTAGTGTATTTCATGGTAAAAAAAAAAAAAACCTTATGTAAAGCAACATCTAATAGCCATTGCATGAAAAGGATTTCTTAGAGTATTTTAAATTTTTTGGTCAGTATAGTCTAGGAGAAGACAACCATAAACAGAATGAATGTGAATTTAAACAACACTTTCTACTACATATGAAATCTATGATACCTTGGGTGCAACAGAGGAAAAGTCAAGCATTCTTCTGGCTTTGTCCAAAGATGCAGAACCTTGATTGGGCGGTGACGGAGTCTGGAAAACTGCAAAGGAAAAAGATGATTCACACAAATGGTCGCTCGGTAATATTTAACATGTTGTTCATGAAACCTAAGTAATGTGTTGGTCTCAGTACATGAAATTCCAGGTGAAGAGCTCAGCTTAGTGGTAAAGATGTCTGACGGTGATGATTTATCTGACTGTAAAGGAAACAGGAAGTTAAAATTTAAAACTACATTTTTAAGGGCAGTATCATCTTATGTATATAAAAACTTTAACTAGTTTGTTACCTGGATACCAAATGTGAACCCGAGAGATGTTGATGTCTTTTCAAGCGTTTGTTTAGATCCCTCTTCATTTTGGATCACTGTAGGAGCAATAAGAATCATTGAGCTAAAGCAGCTTACCTGTTGTAATAAAAATGTTATGGTAATCCTTACTTTGTGTGCTCATGTCCTGTTCTGAGACTTGTGTCATTCCATAAGTCATTTGTGTTGTTATGTTTGGAGACATTAAAACTTTCTGTCAAACAGAATTAAAGAGTTTTGAGCTTGTTCACAACCATTTAAACCATTAAGTGGTTAATTAGATACATTATCATTAGAATCAGAAATTAGTATCTTCATTTGATTATACCTCTTCCTTAACCGGAGTGCTCTGAAATGTCCAGCTGTTGTTTTGGGTACTTAGTTCACGCTTGTTGCTCCAGGAGTTCAGGTTACTGTCTGGGAGATTTTTATTTTGTGGCGTGTAACCTATCATCCCCTGAGTACTTCCCAGGTCAGTGAAAGTGGTGACTTTGGAGACACAGCAGTATTTGTTGATTAGAAATACAGTGTCTGGGGTTATCATCAATTTCCAGGCAGTGACAGTTGTGGAACATCTGCTTTTTAACTGTTTTGCCAATATAGCTCTGGAAATCCATGTCCCAGAGATAGATAATAACCCAACTGTGTCATGTAACCATTATGATTGTTACATGACACATTTTTGAAAATGATCTAGAGAGTAAAATCATATACAATGCAAACAGTGAAAGAGAGGCATCAAAGGTAGAGGGAGTAAGAATGAAGACAGGAATGAGGGAGGAGAGGATAAAAGAGGGAAAACAAAACAAAAAATGCATAAACTCTTAGAACTCTGCTTACGCACCTACAAGAGAGGAGAGGGAAAGAAAACAAAAAACGAAACTACAGCAAAAAAAAAAAACAAGACAACCAACAATACCTTCCAGAGAAGTGGGTATCCCTATATGCTTATGGTGCTTACACAATATTACACAATATTATACAGTATATCTGTAGCTGCAGCTTAGTATTTAGTTTTAGTTTGTATCCAACAAGGTTTTGATGTAAGAAAAAATTGTGTTTAAAGCTACAGTGTGTAATTTCCAGCGACATCTAGCGTCCAGACTGCAGACCGCAGCAACCTGAACATCTCCCGCCCACCGCTTCTCCCCCCCAACAGTACGGCGAACATTACGGGACAAAATGTCTTCCAAGACGTCCGCATCACCTACCTTCTCAAGTGATGAGGTTTGTTTACATAGATAATTTTAATACTGCCATCTATTGTTCAGTACCGTCTCAGTTCATCTCTCTCAAGTTGCAGTAGTTACTTTCGAGCGTAATGGGCGATCTCGCAATCGCTAGTTTGTTGGCTCTGCGCTGCCGTAGCGCAAAAATGTCTGCCTCCATGGCTGCGAGACCGGCTCCTATGTAATTATAAATAACGAATTATAATGCAACGCAAATATTAAGGTTAAGAGGCTAGGCTCGTAGATGATGATAAATAACATAGTTATGTATATATTACATTTCTGACTGTATATCCCTGTAATTATTACACACTATAGCTTTAAGACAAGACAATTTTATGCGCATATAATGTTTGACAAACATAATTTCTCACAACTTAGTTATAAGTCAAGATTAATTTAGTTACTTTACTTCTCTGCATTTGTTATATTTTCTAGATTTAATTAACAAAAACATTCAAATTGCTTTGATTTATCATGAGGAACTATGGTGATGAGGCCTGCACTCTTGAAAATTTCTACTCAAAAATTTTCTATAAATGACCACAGAAATTGTGCAGACAATGTTGAACTTTTCATTGTTTTTTTTCAACAACTGCAATATGAATGTGTTTCTGAATTGAAGCACTAACCAGACTTTAGAGGAGGCTTGAAGATGTCTGCAGAAGGCTCTTCTAAACTAATCAGACTCGGCTGGTTAAAACCTGAAGGAGTGCTGAATAGTTTGCTCTCCGGGATGTGCATTCCCTTCGGTGTGCATCCCATCTTCCCCTGGTGAATTCTCAGCCCCTGGTAGGTGGTGACTTTGGACCAGCCACAGTGGCAGGTCTGGAGGCTCATATCGAACAAGTTGTATTCACAGTTCTGGCCTGAATAATACATAGAAAATATGTTAAGTTATTTAAAATCAGATATGCAACCAATTTTTTGTTTACTTTCTTTTTTGGTGTGTTGATTAGGTCACACCTGAAGCTCCTGTATATGTAAAACATATTTTAGGAAGAAATTCAAACTGAGCTTAAACATTAAAATAGACCTTTTATTCTTAAATTACTTTATTAAAATGTATGAGGCTCCATGGCTGCAAACACTTAAAATGCTATCATATTAGTGTGCATATGCTTCTCTATGTCTTTTGTATGTCTGCCTCTGCCTGCCTCAAACTTCAGTTGACCTCAGCAGATGGCTGCTCACACTGAGCCTGGGTCTGGTGAAGTTTTTTTTTTTTTTTTGTCAAAGGGAGTGTTTTTCTACTCCTCTGTCACTGCATGCGTAGTTGGTTCGAGGGATTGCCTCAAAGTCAACGGCAAAATGCAAATAAATATTTATTTCTCTACATGCTAATCTAGGATGAGCGAGTTTTGCAAGGTTTAAAAATAACTCAATGCAATCAGCTGGTTTTCCTTAGATAGAAAACTTTTAGCCATTATGACTGTATGATCTGAATATGTTGTTTCTGTAAAGTGCCTTAATATGACATGCAATAAAACTGAGCTATAAAAAATAAACTATATTAACTCCTCATGAAGTGAGCCACATTGCACACTTATGTCTAGTATATTAAAGGAATAGTACACCCAAAACATGATTAGCCTTCATTTTCTACTCACCCCCATGCTGAACAAAACTCTGGAGTACTTTTTTGATATCTCAAATGCATCTGGAGATCTGGGAGGCTTCTTGCTGTCTGCTGACATTCAAATAATGGAGGTGTATGGTGACCGAGACAGAAAGGTCCATAAAAGTCCACAAAAACGTGTCAATATTCCTCCATACTGCTCGTCCAATGTATTCCAAGTGTCCTGAGTGGGTAGCATCCAGAATTTACTCGAAACTAAGTCATTTAGAACGTTTTAGAGCCTAAACAGTAGTGTATAGGATTTCCTAATAGCGCCCCCATGCGCGCTCACAATTCTACGGAAGCCGGCAGACCAAACCGGAAGAAAGTGCGCATTCAGCGTCTGCTCTGCCGATAATGCAAGCGTAGAAGAAGAAATGTGCTGTTTACCTGTGCAAAGAAAGAAACAACGAAAGAAAAATGTCTGAGGACTTCAGTGTTGAGGAAGAGCATGAGTTCTTTGCCGAGCTGAATGCGCTGGTTTGGTCTGCCGGCTTCCGTAGAATCGTGAGCGCGCTTGGGGGCGCTATTAGGAAATCCTATACACTACTGTTTAGGCTCTAAAACGTTCTAAATGACTTCGTTTCGAGTAAATTATGGACGCTACCCACTCAGGACACTTGGATTACATTGGACGAGCAGTATGGAGGAATATTGACACGTTTTTGTGGACTTTTATGGACCTTTCTGTCTCGGGCGCCATAGACCTCCATTATTTGAATGTCAGCAGACAGCAAGAAGCCTCCCAGATCTCCAGATGCATTTGAGATATCAAAAAAGTACTCCAGAGTTTTGTTCAGCATGGGGGTGAGTAGAAAATGAAGGCTAATCATGTTTTGGGTGTACTATTCCTTTAACACCCTGCCTGTGCTTTAGAAAAATGTTTGTCTCTGCTCTCTCTGTTCAGCATCTGATTTGTTTAGATGCAAAAGCTGTTCCTTTTAGGTCTCAACGTTTTAACAATCACTTCACTTTTTTTAAGGTTACTTCTACCTATAGACAAAGAGACATGCCTTTTAAGTCGCCTTCTTTTTTCTTCCTATTGATAGTTTGGGATGACATATATAACCTAAATGGCAACACTGCTGAAACTATGTTTGTAGTTATTGTTTCAGAGTGCCAGTCTGAGGATATTATTGTTGTGTGATAATTTCTGACCCCACATTACCACTAAAACATTCTCAAAGTTACAGGATATAATGATAATCACTGAAACATTTTATAATATATTTTAATGTAAAAACAAACTTTAGAGTGCAGACACCTACCTAGATGCGACAGTCGACGGTGCACCTCTGAGTTCTCTGATTTTAATTTCTCTGCTCTCTATCCTTCCCTTCCTTCTCTGCCTGCTGAGTACTTTTGGTTTCAATTCAACCGACATTTAAAGGAGGCAATTCTTTAAAAGTTAATGTGCTGGATCTGTTCTCTTAATTAGGCTTCATTTTTTTTATTGAGAAAGTCATGCTTCTTAATACATTTTTAGCTGATTCCAAGAACTGCAAACTGAGCAGAACACCACACTGCACTGAATCCCTCCATCCTCATAGCTGAAAAAAGAATACATCTGTCTTTTTTTATATAATGAAAAAATAATGAAAAATTATTTTAATAATATTTTTTTTTAAATGTTGCCTTTTAATGTATAAAGCTGTTACAAAAATACCCAAATAGCAATAATCACAGAAATGAGAGTTCCCAGGAAGAGTCATTCAGACGAACAATTTAACACTTTACTCCTATTACACAATCATGAACTACTTCATGCAGGTATGTGTCAGAACTAAAAAATATTAGAGGTATTAGAGGTGTTTCATAAATGTTTTTACAATGTCGGCCATTTTTAATCTTTACGTGTGAAATGTTGCAGCCTTACTGTGAAACACTTACCAGTTGTCAAATGAGTCTTGAAGAAATCTGCAAAAGGTTCTTCTATTCTGATCAGACTTGGTTGGTAAAAACTTATTGGATTGTAGCTAAATAGTTTGCTCTCTGGGATGTGCATTCCCTTTGGTGTGCATCCTTTCTTCCCCTGGTGAGTTCTCAGGCCGTGGTAGGTGGTGACTTTGGACCAGCCACAGTGACAAACCTGGAGGCTCATTTCGGACAAGTTGTATTCAAAGTTCTGGTATGAAACACAGAAAAATACTAAAGTTTATTCCCATCAGATATTTAATAGCTGTGCCTTTTACAATCTTTGCTGGTTAAGTAATTAATTGAGTTGGGTAAGAAATTATTATTCAATAAGAGATTGAACTCAGATTGAACATATGAATGCTCCTTTGATGTCTAGGTAATTTTTTGTGCTGAGATGAACCATACATGATGCAGTATGATTACTAACCCTGTAGCCAATGTTTAATTATTAAATCAGTCTCATTATGGCATGGGCTCAATTTACACTGCAGGTCTTAATGCTTGATTGCGATTTTTTTTTGTCAGGTCTTGTGTGGCTGTTTAAATGATTGTCTGAAATTGTGTCCACGAAGTCACCTGCATGTGCAGAAAAACAATTACAGTAGGGAGTAAAATCATCTACATCAAACGACGCTGGGGGCAGAAGTGACCGACACAGGTGCAAGATCAATAACAAGACTTTTCAGACAGTTCATACCAGGTATCTCCGAGGACAAATGTCTGAGTGCGGCATTTTATTCAGCTGACCGGTTACAGTATGATCCCCCAAGTCTCTTTTGCATCTCCTTTCCACTTGTACACCATACCCCATGTTTGTTTTTTTTGGATTTATTCTTGTTCCCATGCTGTCAGTACAGAGTGACATCATTGTCACACTCATTTAAATGTGGGTCACTTGGCTGTTTAGACCGCAGAAGTGACTTGAATCGGCTTTAAAACCACATAGAAATTAAGCCCAGATCGAGTTAAAAAAAAGTCAGATGTGACTTGGCCTGTTGACACAGTCATGAAAATATTTCATCTGAATCACTTCAGGGCAAAAATTTGGATTGGGGACACATTTGTCTGCAGTGTGAACGTAGCCATGATGTCAGTCTTAAATCCTATCCTCTTAAATTTTAAAGGCATAATGATTATTTTTAAATCAAGTTAAGCTTTATTTTCACAATGTAACTTGTTTTACTCTATGTAATTATATTTTTGGTCACCATTTTTAGCATTCAATAAATTTATATTTGGTTCAGTATTTGGTCAGCTTCTTTAGATGTGATGGCTCTTTCAACAAATTTTGCATTTAGATAAAGTTCACTATATATAACGATATTACCCCTGCCCCTAGACAAATGTTGAAACTGCCACCAAAATATCTGTGTTAAGACGCCCTAAGATCCATGGCTAATTGTAGGGATGACTCGTGGGGGCTTTACGTGGATATGTTAAGACAACATTAAATAGCAGCTCACTTAACCTAGCCAAGCTTCATTGAAATACATAAAGAGAGCAGAGCGATGCTGGTAGTTGTGTCATTGAAAAAATATTTGAGGTGAAAAATTCTACTGATGTTGGTCAGAGGGTTTGGGCAGTCTTACTTTTATCAGTGAGTCCCAGGGTAGCTGTGACTACTCTTTGGAGTCCCCTAACCTGAAAGGAGTTACGGTGGATGAAAGTATGAATCGCCCTGGAGGTGTATGTCTCAGTGGGTTTCAGAATAAGCCTATCATAAAGAGTACCTGTATTTGTGATGTAGACGTATGGTAGTTGCATTAGCTTAAATTCTTAGAGCAGCACTAAGATGGTTTTGAGACAAATATTGTGGAACTAAATTATCTCTAATACAATTTAAAAAAGGACGATTACATCAAATTATTGACCCAGTTAATACACTTTGAGTTGAAATGAAGAAATGATAAAATTCTTAACTGTTTCTATCTCTTTAGTGGGACTGACTGTGTTGCACAGCTTGGACTGATTACATTGCTGTTTGCACACATTTAGAAAATGACTGCAGAAAAAAAAAACTACTAATGAAGAAAAGGTAGAAAAAGACAAAGAACAATGAGCATCAATAGGCTGAACTAACAGTCATTAGTAAACAAGATATAAACTGAAATCCTCCTTGGTATGACATGAAGAGCAATTCTGAGAACATTTCAAATATGGCATGAAGGCCATCATTTAAGTCTGCATAACAAACCACTTTTAGCTGACTGCTCCATGTTTACTCAGGGAGACAAGTTCAATTGTTTAAATGGACTGATAAGCAAACCAACTTTAATATTCCAGTGGAGATCCTGACTATAACCACAGGAGGTAGCTGTAATCCACTCTATCTAACTAGATCACATTCTTTCATGGATGTTTAATTGTTTAATTTAATGTGGTCTGCTCTCCGTTATTCTTTGGAAAACTTAATGCCCTTCCCATCTACTCTGACCGGTATGATGCTGTCACTGATGTTTCCCTCTGAAATGCTAAAAGTTACATTGCATGCCAATTTTCTGCCTCGAGGAGCTTTTTCAAATGTTCAACCTTTACATGTAAAATAGCTCAGGTTATCCAAAGCTATCTCTATAATTATGTTGCTACAGGCTTAGACTCCTAGAGGACATATATAAACCCTTTTCATCATTCTGCTTCATTCTACTGTATCTCTATTCTCCCATTCTGTAGAATTTGTTAGTTCAATCTCTAAGGTTATTCCCTCTCTACTTTTTCTTATCATTATAGCTTCATCTAGTCCAGGGGAAACCAATTAAAAATCAGTGGGGTCCGAATAAAGAAAATCAACAACCAGTAAAGGGACGGAGACATTTGAAATTATGATTAGTTACTTTAAACATTTACTTACTTTAAACACTGAAATAAAATGAGGTGTTCACGCATCCATGTTATACATTGACTTTTTAAATAAAAAAAAAAATAGAAAAATGTTTCCATTTTAAAATCTAAAGTAGAAACAACAACCGTTCAGTTTGGTATATAGACAAGTTCCTGATTCACATATTTTATAAACTAACCGTTTGTTATTTTTTTGCTTTGTTCTTTATGGCTTAATGAGAGCAGTGGGCTTTAGGCTGACCTGCAAGGCTTTAAACCTGGGTTTGAATGGAGACAAAGCCATTCTCAAGCACATATTAAGGTGCTCATTTTGAGCCTGGATCCATATTTACTTTTTAAGTATGTTCATGGTGGAGAATCCTGCTTCAGAGCAGCAGGTTGAGCCAAACATACTCAAAATGTGCAGGGTCATCTTTGAGCATGCAATTTCATTTTTCTGTCACCAGTTCACAGCAGTTCTTCCAGCAGTCAACACTTTCTTTCACTTTTTCTCATCATAGTTCAGTGTAGTCCTGTTTCTCTGGTTGTGAGTACTGTTAACCTCTGACATGGGAGCTGGCTAGGAGCTTGTCTACCTGGTTGCAGGAGCCATATTATTTTTTGTTAATGATAGAAAATGTTTTTTTGTTTTTGTGCATAATCTAGCTAAGTTTATTTTACTTTATTGTTTAATATCTGTTATGAGATTATGTTTTTTAGTTATTTAGTCATGTTCCTTTAGTTTTTGGTTAGTTATGATTAATTTAGGTTAATTATTTTTTTTTATAAATAGACTGTCAATGATAGGACCAGCATGCATCTGGGTGGGCGTATTGTTTTTTTTTTTTACCAGCGCAATAGAAACAAGGAGGAAATGTTTTTCTTTTTTTTGTTTGCTTGCCTGAGGAAAAAATAAACTGACAAAGGTAAAGGAGTTTACCTCGAACATTTTTTTTCTTTTTGCCTGCATCAAATAATTCCATGGTGCATCTATGGCCTTTTGGGACTTCCACTATTTTGTGTCATCAAAGCTGGGCTAAAACACTGGTTGTGTTTTTCTGTTAAGGTTGTATATCTTTAGGTTTTTCCATTCTTAAATAACTAAACAGTGATTAGTGTTTTGTGACCCAGCTAATTTGTAGCATTTCTCCAGATCTGTTTGCTGTGTTCCCTGGTCATTTTGATTGATCAGTGTTCATGAATGTTCAGTAACAAATCTCCCACGCCTTCAAACAACAGCTGAATCTATTTACACTGGCAGACACTCTTGTTTTTTTGTATTGGCAACGCTGCTGTTTTTCTGTACTGTTCAGAGTGCATTTCAAAGAATATTCCCGTCACATGAAGATATGTGACCCTATTTTACCTGATAATCATTATTTTTGCTAAAAAACACAATGCTCATTTATATAAAAGCCTCTAAACCTTATTTATTTGAAAAAAAAACAACCTTAAGGAGCAGACACCTACCTGGCAGTGTCTTACGTCGGGATACCTCTAGGTGATCTGATTGTCATGTCTCTGCTTTCTACTTTTCCACTCCTCCCCAACGCTTTCAGTTTCATTTCAGCCAAACATTGAGAAAGGTTTTGTTAAGATACTGGGTGGGATTTGTTGATTCAACTGGGTTTGACTGATCATGACTTATTAGGAAACATCAGCTAATAAGTACTTTACAACAGAGAAATTGTAAGCTTATTTGATCATTTAATAGCTATTAATTTCATACTAAACAACTGGCCTGATATTTTCCTCCCAGATTGTCTGATAAAGAGGAGAATTAATGGTTCTTTTAGTCACATCAGGTCTTGGAGGCCCTGAAACAGGAAAGCAGCCCCAAACTATCAAACGTCCTCCTTCTGTTACTTCTGTTTCCTGATTAAATTGATTAGTTTTACATTCGATATAACAAGATGCATACTTTCTGAAGAAGTCAGAGCTTTCTCTAAATAGTCAGAATTTTCTCCATCATTATCTTAGTTATGATCCAAGTTTTTGGTATATGTTAGATGAATCTTTGTCTTCTTTATGGTTCGCTACACTATACACCTTCAAAGTCTTCAACTTTAGCCTTACTGGTAAAACTTTACAATAAGGCACACAAAATCTAAATAACTACTAGAGAAAATGACCAGAACTTATTTAGGAACCCCCAGTTCCATCTTATTATGGGACTACTGCTTTTTTGCTGGGTAAACACAGAGTAACTAATGAAGAAGTAATGTGTAGTTACCAACAGTCCCCTAGTAAGAGCTGGTTAACTCCCCATTATTTCAACATTAATTAATCTTGTTTCCTTGTGAACTAAGCAGTGGTCCCATAATAAGGCTACTGCAGGCTGCGTGTCCCCTAGTAAGTGCTGCTTAACTACCTATTAGTTCCTAAATAGTTCCATCTTGTAGTTAATCATTTTTCATACCTTATTGTTAAGTGTTACCGTATTTTTTTAATGTTCAATAGTGACTTCGGAGGGCACTAATGGGAAGAATGGCTACTAACTGGAAAGTTTAAAACTTTTACTCCTAAACTAACTAATGGAAATGGCTTCAGAATACTGAAATATTTATCATTTAATTGATTGGGTATTATTTCCCCCCACGGCACAAATTCTGGTTGTTTGACAAACTGATTAATTTCTGTAAACAACATTCTGGTTTCCTTAGAATGTTTTTTTTTTTTTCTGTGGACACATGTGAAGAAAGTAATAAAATGGATAATGAAATAGATATCAGAATAGATTTGGAAGGTTACTGGTCGACCACATAATTGTGTTTGGCTTTGATAAGAAACCAACACCTGACAGGACTCCTAAAATAGTTATTGAATGTGAAACATTCAAAGGCAAAGGTACCCCAAACAGAAATACATTCAGTTTATTTAATAACACAAGCTTAGATGATTGTATACATGATACAGTTGGAAATGTACACAATGTTAAGAGTCACAAGAGAGCACACAGGTGAAGGAAGTAGCTTAGACCATCAGGTTCATCCTACAGTCAGTCCAATGAGTGCCTGGACAGTTTTGTTCCTCAGATATTTAGACATTTGTACACACCTCGTAAAGAGTTCCACATTTTGATATTACAGCCAAAAACATCTGTTTTATTTTATTATGATATAATCTGATAGGCCAGAACCAAAGCAGTGCATAATTATGTATCGAACCTTGCAGGGTTAACTTCTTTATTACAACTAACAATTTTAAATTGGATTTGTATTCATACCATAAATCTTTAAACAGTCCAGGAAATTAATATTAATTTAGTACATCTATTCACATATGCAGTTTTTCTGTAAAGGTTTTGTTACTTTATATATGTTTATGGTTGGAAAAAACAGAATATGAAATGCTTCAAGGCTTAAATTACTTTGCAAGAAATTATTTTGCTTTTAACAGATTAAAACTACATAAAAAAAGACGTTGACACATTAACAATAGCTATGTGTGCATTCACAAAATGCCCTGATCCAATTGGAATTTATATTTGGATTAAAAAAAATGATTGTATTGTTTATTTGGAAGTCAGTGATTGGAAACTCGAAGTATCAGATGATTTACACGGAAACGCTATGTCTGAAATAGTTTTGAACTGAACTCAGAGTGTTATAAAAAGTAAACCATTAAATGAAAGCGAGCCTGTCAGAAGGTAGAAACTCATAAACACAACACGCCCAGTTTCTGTGGTTTCTCTTTCAAGGAAAACGAAAACCTAAAACCCTGTGGAGCAGCATACAGACTGCACTAGAGAACAAGGAATCACATGGAAACCTCTTTTTGTTTTTCCAGACTTTGCCTTTGTTGTTTGACACGTCCAAACAGTGATCGCTCTGGTTGCTAAACAGCAGCTCAAACAGAGAGTTAGCTAGAGAGCTATTCATCCTGATGATGTCAGCAGAAACAAGATGAAAACAGGAATCTGCTGATTTTAATAAAGAAGTGACTGTTATGCTGCAGGCAAAATATACAGTACATGTGATAAACTCGCAACTTTGGTTACATTATATCACTGTAAAACAAGAATGTAGTACATTCAAATCCTTGATGATATTTTCATAGTAACTTATTGATAAGCACATGCAATGTTATGTTAGTATGTTACGTATGTTAGTAAAACTAAAACATAGTTAGATACTAGCAGCTACAGACACCAGTTGTTGTACAGTTTAATTTCACTACTCCATTTACTATCCGTCATCATCCATCCATCGATCCTGTCCCACTTCATTCATTAGAATCTTCGTGGGGCTGGTACCCGTCTCAGGAAGTCTATGGGTGCAGGCAGGGTACACCTAGCCTGGGTGCCATTCTGAACTTAGTCCCGCCCACAAAGTTTGAGGTCGGGGAAGTTCGGTCTGGCTCTGCTCCATAGTAGCGCGAGTATTATCGCCCACTGTCAGGCGATCCAATCAAATTGTCAGGGCGGGCTTTATACGATGATGGACAGATGACCAACAGTAAC